AGTTGGTTATAGAGTGTGAGAAAAAAAGGGGGGGGGGGGGGGGGGGGGGGCGTTAAAACAGAAGCGGGATCAGAGACCACAGAGACTTCTCATGAAACTGTGATGAAATACTCTCTCTCGCTCTGAGTCAGCTGTACTGATTTGGTGGCATTATAAAAATATCTGTGTACATTTCTCATGTTGTAGTGTGGATGATAATATTAATGTGTCGTGTATTGCGTGTGTTTGGTTCAGCAATGGCGTCTGATCCCGTACCTGGCTGCAGCGTACGCTCTTGAACGCTTCTCCAAAGACATCTTCATGAACTTTGTCGAGTTCCAGATCGGACAGATAATGAGAGACAACAGTGACAGACAGGTGAGTGGAGATGGTGTGTGTGTGTGTGTGTGTGTGTGTGTGTGTGTGTGTGTGTGTGTGTGTGTGTGTGTGTTTGTCATCCTGAACTTCCGGAGTGTCACAGTCCAGAAGCTGGGACTTGGTGTAGGATCCATTATGTTATGTCCAATTTAACATGCTGAGACTCAGAGCTTGCAGAGTGACACATGTTTAAGTGTTCAAATACTTATATTTCTTATGTGTGTGTGTGTGTGTGTGTGTGTGTCAGGCAGACATGGGTAAAGAGATCCACGCTATAGGCTGCTCCAGTAAACCACTGGGGTCCTGGACGGCTCAGAGGGGGATCCAGGAGTGCAGGGAGGCCTGTGGAGGACATGGATACCTGGCCAGTCAGTGTCAAGCACACACATCAAGCTTCACTATTGAATGCCTCACACACATACACACACACACATACACACACACACACACACACACACACACACACCTGGCTCAGTTGGCTCTCTCTCTCTCTCTCTCTCTCAGTGAACCGGCTGGGTAACCTGCGTGACGACAACGACCCTAACTGCACATATGAAGGAGACAACAACGTGCTGCTGCAGCAGACCAGCAACTACCTGCTGAGCTGGCTCCAGGCCAAGCTGCACGGTCAGTCCCCCGTCCTCTGAGACACTACTGAAGGTTCATGTGGTCAGGGACAGGGACAGAACTGGACAATTATAGCACCTATTGATGAGTCGTACGATGTTCTCTGACTGACGGTGCTGATCTGTCGGTGTGGCAACGTCAAGGCAGCTAGTGATAACAGGTTCATTTGAGATGAAGCGTGCCTCACCTGTTTCCAGCAGCCTTCACTGTATCAACAGGAAGTCACAGAAACACTCTTCTTATTAGAGTTTGTCCTGAGGTCCCAGATAGTGTAAAGGTAGATGTCCATGTTGCATTAACAATTAAGAAATTGCCTGATTTTGCTTAAAATTTAGTAAATAAAATTTTACAGCTTATAAAACATTACACTTATTGTGTTGACAGAATAAACCTTCATAATAAAATCAAAATCTCCCGTTAAACAAAAATGAAAAGTTTCTAGAAAACTCCATGTAGTTGTTGAGCAACTTCTAAACCAATCAGCTGTTAGATCGGCGGAGAGCCAGGTGTTTCCCATCATGCTCTGTGGTCCTACACAGAGTAAATGATGCACCTGGCTCCTAAAACCTGCGGCCGCTCTGATCCTGTCAGTTTACTGTTGCCTGTGACAGAGTTTCTCCTGTGAACCATGAGGAACATGTTTTAACCTGGTTTATTAAATATTAATTATCTATATAAACGAATGCTGACAGTTTGTGTTAAAGGGAGTATCATTTAGAGTACTGGCCCCTGTTCTGCTCCCTGAACTGTTTATATGTAGGACTGAGGATTTAAATGTAGCTACAGTGTTAAAGGAGCCCAGTGGACTTTTCTTTATGGTAACATTCAGTTAAACTGTGTGTGTCCTTCACGGATAATAAACATGTCTGCGTATGTTAAAGCAAGCATTGAATAACTGCTATATAGTTCTGCTGGAGCTCTAAGACTCCACAGGGAGTCTTCAGGGGTGAAGGGGGTGGGGTGGGGTGGGGGGGTGGTGTGAGGGCAGGGACTCTGATCAGTCTCTAAAGCTTCAGCTGCTGTCTTCTTGTCTGGTTTCAGATGGGGTGCGGATCGAGTCTCCTCTTCACACTGTGGATTTCCTGGATGATTTCCGCAGGATCCTGGGAACCAAGTTCAAAGCAACGTCTATGGAGGAGTGTATGGACTCTGCAGGTAGTCCAGTACTTCAGCTGCTCCAGATCAGCCTGATACCAAACTGTCTGTGATCAGATGTTGTGGATTTTCCTCTGCTGGTATCAAACCTTCACTTCTGGGTTCATAGGAACCAAGTGAAAGACGCAGGAGGTCAGGACATTTAATACTGTCGCACACGTTCTGTTCTTCCAGTGACAGAGACACAGAGTGACAGATCTTAACCCTCTCACTCCAGGCTCCTCCCACCAGGCTGCAGGTTACACAGGGTTCTCTGATTGGTCTAATCCTATGATACTCTTGAGTCAGCACTTTATCAGCAGCTGGGAGAACACCTGTACACCTGTCCTGTCTCTACTGTCCACAGCTAATCGTTAAAGATCACAGCTTTACTTCCTCTGCAGGTCAAGATCATCTCTCTCTTCTCCATCACTCTGTCTAACTCTGTCCTACTGTCTCTAATGAGTAATAGTCTCTATTGGAAACACACCAATTTTCCCTGTAAAGATCAAACTGGAGTCAACAGGAAAACATGTTCAGTTTTAAAGGAAAGCAGAAAAAAATCAAACATTTGAAGGTCAAATCTGGGAAATGGAAATGAGATGAATGGAAATTATAAAAGCTGTGGTTTCAAATTGATTCAATCCAAAGTTTTTCAGTCAGATACGAGGGAGAGAGAGAGAGAGGGAGAGAGGAATAGGGAGACAGAGCAGCAGGTGGAGGAGGAGGTGTTCTGTAAATGTAAATGTCTAATCTGTTGATCAATTCAGGGTGCTGTGCATACATAGGTCACAGTTGGTAGATGTTAGGATCTCCATAGAGTGGTGCTCTCTGGGGGTCAGGTACATCCTATGTGCAAATTTATAATATATTGATTGATGATTGATCTGGATCCTGAGAAATATCATGCAGGTTTTTCTACACTGTCTTCGAGCAGATCTCTTCATCATTCACACCAGATACATCCCTACACCGCGCAGCTTCTACCTGCACTGGCCTAGGAGCTTCACAAATAAATGTGTAGAGTTTAGAAACCATCCGTCGTGTCGGATGCAGATCTTAGCTGCAGGTAGAAAAAAAAAAAAAAAGATGATCTCAGCTTGATCATATTCAGCTTGTAGAACATTAAAGAGCCATTAAAGAGTACAATAGGTCTTGCAGTCTGTGAGGCCATGACAGATTCTCCCTGTAAATGTTCAAATTCAACACGGACCCAGCAGCCAGTCGGTTATTAGCTGCTACAGAATGATCAGATATGGTGTTGAGTGCTATATTATTTCTCTGTTTCCTACTGTAGTTAAATAGTATATAGTCATATGTCATTACCAGGTTATTTGGAGCTCCCTGTATATTTTAGTGCTGTGGTCAATGGGTCTAGTGTCTGTAGAATAATCAT